GGCACCCGATGAAGCCCCACCGGATCCGGATGGCCCACTCCCTTGTCATCCACTACTCCCTGCACCGCCTCCTCCAGATCTCCCGTCCTTCTTGTCCTTTCCCCTCCTCCGCCGCCGACATCCACCGGTTCCACTCCGACTCCTATCCTCCGTCTCCCCTTCCTCCCTCTCGTATGACGCCTCCTCCGCCGACGCCAACAACACCAACCGCGATTCTAAGATGCTAAAGAGGTTCAACGTCAGTGCTGATCTGCTCTCGGTGGCGGGTTGAAAAGGGGAAAATGAGGAGAGAGAGAGAGAGAGAGAGAGATAGGGGTTTATATGGGGGCTAAAAGGGGTATTTTGGAGTTTTTACCTTGATTCTGTATAAATACAAGTGCGGAAAGTATTGTATTTTGGAGATTATGTTTAAAGATAAATACAAAAAGAGAGTTGTGCTTAGAGATACAAATAATAATGAGTGGGTTTAAAGATAAAGTGGAGTAAACAAATGGGCCCAAAAACAAAAACCCCCTTTGTTATTACTTATTTGCATGTGTGGTGACTTCTTTTGATTTTCTAAAGTGCAAGACCGTTTCTGCAAGTTCTAAAAATTTGACACATAAGTCAAAAGTGAGATTTTCTTAACATAGTACTAGTATTCCGGGGTGCACGCATGCGTGCACGACAACATGTGAAAGCATTTTAGTTTGATTTTTACAAAAGTGAGAGCAGGAGAGGAATCAGAAATTTTGGGAGTAAAAACTAAATTATGTATTTTTAACAGAAATATAAATCAAAGGGATTTGAATGATAATGAAACATTAAATAATAAACAAATTAATCTAAAAATATAAAGGTACCGCTAGGTCATACAAATCTTACGATCCGCCACAATACTTCTCAAGAATCCCAAAGAATCCCACATTGCCCACTTAACCGGTTTTATTATCCTATTAATATAATACGCCTCTTAAATTGTTGAAATCAGAGTACTGAACAAGTACAATATCTTTTTCCTCTCTATTCTTTTCGAGTAGTGATTACTGTGCAACAAAACTTATTAGTTTCCAGCTCTAACAAATAAAAAAGTAGTGTCTATAATGACTCACAACTTTTTCTGACAACTTTCAAAAAAGAATTCCACGCATTCGTTAGTGACAGTACACAAATATTATGGAACTTGTACTTAGGAGAATATTATGAAACTTTACAAGTAATTTTCCATTCTTTTTCTCTTTGGCAGCAGATATCTGAATAATTACTGTCTTTTTTGGTTGGATCGGATTTCCACCCTCAAAATTAATAACGTGTTGCCTTTTATAAACAATGGTGCTTCTATAGAGACCCGAAAATGGGACAGATAGGAGGGACATGTGGGGTGTCCCCCTCTGGTTGCATAATGAGCTGGATGACCAGCTCATTATGCAATCAGAGGGAGGACAGCTCACATGTCCCATGTCTGTCCCATTTTCGAGTTTGTCAGGCATTTTTCTATAAACAATTAACTTTTCTGTTCCCATTGAATTAACTAATTGGGCCCACATATGCCGCGTGACGTCCTTATAAACAACAACCTTTTACTATTCTTATTTGAAGTAAGTAGTTGGTGGTAGTTAGCAGCCTTAGGATACCCTCTCTTCGACGAGAACCAATGATAGAAATTCTAATATTAGCAAAGGATCAAAAGTTTGGTGAAAAAGAAAGTAAAGTTACGGGTACTTTAAGAAATTGTATTCTCCTGGTACTTTTAGCCAGGGGAGTCGAACTTGGAATTTTGTAATACTATACTTATGAGTAGCTTACCAACTTAATTAGACTATCTTGAGTGCATCCAACCTTGATTAGTATGTTATGATTAAAAAATAAATACGTATATGTTAATTGTCATGCCCGAATCGGTTTGCATCACTATACCTATCTTTTCTTTTCTTTTCTTTTTATATAAAAATAATAATAAGTGGACCTGGGTAGTTGATCCATCACAATAAGGTTTGAAATTATTATGTCGATCATAAGTAAAAAAAAATGGACTAAACGTTGCGCTCCATTCAGTCCACAATAAACTACCATAACAGAGAAACAATTAGGTCATACAGACAATAAACTACAAACTATCCAATCAAAATCATCCAATTAGGTTGTCTAGAGAGGAAAACATGCGTCAGTCAATAATACAGCACCTAAACAAAAACACGAACAAAAGTCGATCAATTACGAGAAAGCGAGACCGATCCTCCACTAGAAAGTCAAATAGAGAGGCCACCAAACTCATTACCAGCGAATAAGTTAATTAGAAAAAGGATAAGATTGGAATCTGGCTATAAAAGAGCGAGGCCGATGGCATCAATTTTTCCCTGCAATTATAATGGGAGAAAGCACAGAAGAAGGATACAGAGTAGAAATCAAGAACAAAGAGAGAGTAGCCGCAGTGCTCCCTCTCCAAGAGCACTGGCTATCCCTCTCAAACCTCGACCTCCTCCTCCCTCCTCTACACTTCGGCGTCTTCCTCTGCTACGGCCAAGAAGTCAACTCCCTTGTTGACTTCAGCTCAACATTAGCCTCCCTCAAGTCCTCACTCGCCAAAGCCCTAGTCACCTACTACCCCTTCGCCGGAGAGGTGGTCCTCAAATCCTCCGGCGAGCCGGAACTCCTCTGCAACAACCGCGGCGTAGAATTCGTCGCCGCATACGCTGATGTCGACCTCCTCGAGCTCAACCTCTACGATCCCGACGAGAGCGTGGAGAAAAAGCTAGTCCCGAGCAAGCCCGAGTCCATCCTATGTGTTCAGGCGACAGAGCTACGGTGCGGCGGGCTGGTCGTCGGCTGCACTTTCGACCACCGCGTTGCGGATGCGTACTCCGCCAACATGTTCTTGGTATTGTGGTCAGAGATATCGAATAGGCGATCCTTGTCGATCGAACCGTGTTTCAGGCGGTCGCTATTGAGCCCTCGAAGGCCTGGTCTTCCTGACCCATCCATCGATCGGCTCTACATGCCTATATCGTCGGTGAAGATGAAGCCGGCTGACAACGAGACCATCAACAGAATGTACTACATCACCGCCGCTGACATTTCAAAAATGCAGGCCGAGGCCAAGAGCAGCAAGATGGAGGCATTTAGTGCTTACCTATGGAAACTGATCGCCAAAGCGGCTGTAAACAAGAAAAAGTGGTGCAGGATCGGCGTCGTTGTCAACGGCAGAGCCCGACTGAAGCAGCTAGCGCCGTCCATGGAGTCCTATGGACCGGTAGCTTCGGCAACGTGCTAACAATACCCTACGGCGGCGATGCGACGGAGGAGATTTCAGCATGAAGCTGAGCGACGTGCGGCGCCTCAGTGCACGATTTCGTGCGGAGGCCGCCGGAGAGGAGCACTTTTTGGTGTGATAGACTGGGTGGAGGCCCACAGGCCGGAGCCGTCGGCGACGAGGATATACTTCGACGAGGAGGACGACGGGTGAACTTCGTGTATCGTCGGGGAGGGAGTTTCCTGTGGCGGAGGTGGAGCTCGGGGGGCGGGGGAGGGCGGTTTTCGGGAGCTATCACTTCCCTGGGGAGGCGGGCCGGGTACGTGATTGCCGATGCAAGTCGCGAGAGGATTGGGTGGTGTATGTGCATCTGATGAGGGAAGTGGTGGAGGCGTTGGAGGCGGAGGCCGGCGAGGTTTTCCGGCGTTTGACCAAAGAGTATGTGTTTGGTGGGTGATGGGGACCAGTGATTTGTTAACTACTTAATTAGTGGGAGTTTTGATTGTTAATTTGGCTTTAAGTGTGACGTTTGGAGTAACTAGTTTTTATGCACGTGCAGTGCACGTGGTTAAATATTAAAAAAATTCCTTTTATATTTATTTCATTACTTAAATAAGTCAAATTCATCTTGAGTTCAATTATGTATAATTTAATTATTAGATTTATTAGTATGTTATTTAAATATTAATAAAAATAAACGTAATGGATTTTTAAGCTAAATTGGGATGAATATACCTAACTGTGATATTGTAATTGTCATTATGAACTATATTTATAGCAATGAAGAAAATATTTTAAAAATTAAGTTTATTCAACTATTTTTTTGACTAAAAAAAGCTAAGATCATTGTATGATTTACTACAAGCTTGTAAATTCTTTTTCTTCAAAGAAATTAAAATTTATCACCACCACTACCACCTAACAAGAACTTAATTATGAAAGTAAATCTTGATCAAATTTGGTCTCTTATTCAACATGGCAACAATCTCAACAAGTAACAATTAGTAAGCCAATAATTTTTTTTAAAACATTGAATATTGAAGTTTGTAACAACCCCAAGCAAAACCATCACAATAGTAAACATTAAACATATTTGTACAGATATAGGACAAAACAAATCTGGCTCAATGGTAATTCTTTGCTAATTGGTCTACAAAGGTACGGATACAAGACGTAATCACAGGGTACTGACCATGCACAACTATAAAATTTTAGAAATGGTAGAAATACTTGTGGATAACTTCATTCTATGGGGAGAAGAAATCCTTTGGATTATAAATTAGAATTCAAAGAGGTTGTCTGATTGTTAAGATAAAATTTAGTAGTTGCGAGCATAGATAAAAACCCAAAAAGTAAAACTTAGTTGCTAAAAAGAAATTAAGAAGATAAAATTCAACACAATGGTAACTTGATGAAAGGACCACAAACATATCATAAATGCAGGATCATATCCTTAGACAATAAAAACATGCAAAGAAAAAAAAGATAAAAAAAAGAAGAGGAAAGGTATATGTTTTCTATTTTGGTTTAATCAAATAAAATATATAATCAAATAAATCTAAATTAAAATAATATCAAACATGAATATTTACCTTGATAGATGGGAGAACCTGCAACAATCAAATCCTTAATCCTCTAAATTCTACATGAAAATTGAAGAAATTAAAAAAAATATCAACTGTCATAAAAAGTAATTGCAATGTAAAACAAGTATCACCATTAAATCAAATACATAATATTTCTAAAGAATAATCGTGAAAATAATAAGAAACATAGAAAGAAACATACATGTTCAAGGAGATGAATAAGAAAATTATGTAATTTCTTGGTTTATATATAGGCATGAGGTATTGCATGTGATAGGATAATATTCATAATTAGAGTTTTATTAGGATTTAAATAGTGTTATTGGTACTTCAAATAATTTAATCGGGACATTGTGATAGGATATTGTGTATAAAGTTTTCGAGAGTCTCCAGATAAGAATCTTGTTAATAGTGTTACGTGCATAAAGTTATTAAAGTTATTATAATTAAAGTATTTTAATTGGGGATATTGTGTATAAAATTTATTGGATATATAGGATAAGAGGCCTTATGGAGCGTAGCCCAAGTGTGATGCAGAATATGACCACTTAACCGAATTATTGTTGTTCAAACCGATAAATGTGTTTCTTGATGCAAGGTTTGTTTTCAAAGCTTTAGAACCATATACCCTTAGGCTACATATGATAAGAATGTTGTTATCAATAGGGGATGAGGGAACCTGCAACAATCAAATCTTTAATCCTCTAAATTCTGCATGAAAGTTGAAGAAATTTAAAAAAAATTATCAATTGCCATAAAAAGTAATTACAGTGTAAAGCAAGTATCACCATCAAATCAAATACACAATATTTCTAAAGAATAATCATGAAAATAATAAGAAACATAGAAAGAAACATACATTTTGAAGGAGATGAAGTTAACATGAAAATTGTGTAATTTCTTAGTTTATATATAAGCATGAGGTATTGCATGTGATAGGATGATATTCATAATTAGAGTTTTATTAGGATTTAAATATTGTTATGTGTGCTTCAAATAATTTAATCGGGACATTGTGATAGGATATTGTGTATAAAGTTTTCGGGAGTCTACATATAAGAATCTTGTTAATAGTGTTACATGCATAAAGTTTTTAAAATTATTATAATTAAAGTATTATAATTAATTGAGGATATTGTGTATAAAGTTTATTGGATATATATGATAAGAAGCCTTATGGCGCGTGGCCCAAGTGTGCAATGCACATGGTTAAATATCAATAGTAAACGATCAACTATAATCATTATTGCAATTAAAATATAAAAATTATTGATATTCTTTACTAACCTGATACTCGTAGTTATAAAATAAATCTTGAATATGAAATTGGAATTGAGATGATATTATCCTGTAGGTAAAAAAATATGTGTCAGAATGTAGTTTCAAACATAATCTTTTTCAAAGAAGTTTTAAGCATAAAATTGAGTTAGCATTGTGTTTCCTTTTGGCCATTGTTTTTATTAAGTATGTTAAGGATGAAATAAAGGAAATGATGAAGGGTCCCAATTAATGATTTATGTGTCTACTTCAGGAATGTTCAATTCATACCCTTCTGTGGTAATAATTTTTTATCAAATAAGTCAAAGTAAAGATGCTAGGAAAACGTTTATGGACATGATTGTAGAATGTTAACCCGGCACTTGATGAAAAACTTGATGTGAACTACAATGTTCATAAATTTGATGCAAATAGTTCTGTTATTTTATATTGTATTTGTGATCTTCATCCTGTTGTCTTTAAGTAAGGAGTTCATTTATCGTCGTTCTTGATAGAGTCTACTAAAATTTTAGTTATCCTTTACAAGTTGCAACTTTTTGTCAGAACTGTGCTACTTTGAAACTGAAGTAATGGCTTTTGCTTCATCTATTGGTAGTGTTGCTTCATCTATTGGTAGTGATATTTTAAAATGTACATATTTCATAATTGACTCTTAAAACTCTCTATTCGACTATTATGTGTTCAGAGTATGTGTCTATTAAACTTAAAGCTAATAAGTTCTCTATAAGTTTTGTGTATGAGATCTTCTCAAATATAAAATATAATTTTTCTGCATGAGTTCTTTTCAAATCTAAAAATATAATTTTAAAGAATTTAACATTGTTGTCTAAATACATACACATGTGCATGTGATAAAATTTGATTTTTACCTATGTCTTTATTGAGTTTGAATATAAAAATAGATAAATACTTGAAAGAAATCAGTAAGAATAAAGAAAATGAAGGAATAATTATTTTTTAATATGATTAACTGTGTTTTCACATGCATGCATAAGAACATATAGCCTTTGATGGCAGATGTTGGTGATCATTTGCAATGATTTAGGCATGTCCGAAGGAGACCAATAACTCCCATGGGGAAAAAATTGATGACCAATTGAATAAACGAAATCCCATATTGTGCTCCTAAAGCGAGTGAAATGAATTATCAAAAAATTAAGGGTGGAAAGTGGATAACATGAATTGTTAGTGGATCTTAGTGTAAAGCTACAGTAAACTAAATTTCTCTATATACTATTATATACTATTTGTAAGCTATCTGAGTGCAGTGATTACTATTCCTTTCAATACCTAACTAATGCATATCTATTAAACATGAAGATTTACCTTGATAGATGGGAGAACCCGCAATACTCAAATTCTTAACCCTCTAAATTCTGCATGAAAATTGAAGAAATAAAATAAATCAATTGCCATAAAAAATAATTGCAGTGTAAAACAAATATCACCATTAAATCAAATACAAAATATTTTTAAAGAATAATCATGATCATGAAAATAAAAAAGAAACATACATGTTGAAGGAGATGAATTTACTATGAAAAGTATGTACTTTCTTGGTTTATATATAGGCATGCGGTATTACATGTGATAGGATAATAGTCATAATTAGAGTTTTATTATGATTTGAATTGTGTTACGGGTGGGTTGAATTGGTGGGGGTGGAATGCATGGTTGTGAAACTTATCCTTAAGTTTAATTCTCAGTAATTTGATATTCTAGAATTATTATTTTCTGTAATTGCCAAATGTCGTTTGAGGTATATGATGAAGATGGGTGCCATATGTCTAAGAGGATATTTTCAATAAAATAAAGTGGAGATAAGTAAAGATATTAATGGTCACATCTATATATTAAGTGGCAATTAGAAATTTAAAAAGTTATAAGTTGTCCTTAAGGATCCGTGTAATAATTTTATTCGGTTTAATAGCTGGTTAACATTAGGTAGTTACGGGAAAAATTTGTGTAGGTCGGTTAAATTTGTGTCTATGGATAAGAATTTTGTTGGAGTTATTTTTTAAACCCTTGATATTTACAATCTCTCTCCCTCTGGATAAAATTTTTATTGTAAATATAAAGAAGGTTCAATCGGGGATTTACATATAAAGTTTTTAAATCTACATGCTTCGGCTAAGCACATATAATTGTTATGGAGCC